TTTTGTCGCCTTTAGACTTTAGACTTTAGATGTCAAATTTGAATCAAATTCATTAATAATTGTCGGAGATACGATGATTTATGTTTTAAAACTTAATTAAATTTAACAATTTAAATTTCTCAGTTTTTGGTCTCTAGAAACTAAACTATTCGTTTTTCTAAAAAATTAAAAAAAAACAAAAAAAGATGCGCCTTTTAATTTCCTACAATATAGTATTTTTCAAAATTCAAAATTTTGAATCTCAATTTTTATCATTTTTTCGAACGTTTGACTGGCTCTACGGAGTTCAGCCGAGCGGAGAGCGAGTTCTAATTTCCAGCTCCTCAAATAGTACAATTTTCGTAACATAAAGCGCATTTTTTGTTAAACAATTAATCATATTTTTGAAACAGTGCATTTCTTGGAAATTTTCTTCGGTGAAGTTTCAGTTAATATATATTTATGCAGAAAATAAGTCTTAGTAAACAAAAAATGACATGTTTTCTTTCAAAACATGTAATTAAAAAAAATTTTTAATTCTTGAAAGGGAAATATGCTTTTTATGAATACTTGTAATTATCAAGAAAAATACCTGAATATAATGTAATTATATTATTAACTAGCATAATTACACGCGCGCAAGCGCGCGTCAAATTTTCCGCCTATTACTTTGATTGTTAACGGTAACAGCAATGAAAACCCAAGAAAATACCTATCGAAAAAGTGATTATAAGAAAAACATACACAAATTAAAACCAACAGTGACAAATGGCGGTGTAAATGTTGATAAATCAATTCTAGTATCACCAATATAACCGCCGCCACTTGAAATGCCGAGAAAAATTAATTATGTTGTGTCAATTATCATCACAATATTCTTTGTCACTTATATATACTGCATTGGAGAGATTCTTTTTCAATCGCCCCAGCCAGCCCAAAAAGTCAATGTTCTGGGATTGGCTTCATACTTTGGTAAATTGTTGTCCTATATGATAGTAATAAATCCCTAAAATAAACTCATTAAAAAAATATTTGTAGAAAGTAGAGGGGGTTGAAGTTTTGACGTTAAGGGTAACATTGTCATTTTCAAATCCGTATAACTATGACAAAAGTTAATGGATTTTCATTTATCTATATAATGAATTTTAATGCATTTTTCATGTACTTTTCAAAAATGTATACGAAATTTAAAAAAAAAAATTTTGACCCCTTTTTTTCAAAATCAACTCTTATTTTTAGATTTTCACCCATTCGAGTATTTTTTTTTATTTTCATTGGAAAGCTGAGGTTTTTTCCCATGAGCTATGTAAATACGAAAGTGGGACAACAATAATTTTGTGGGAAACAGAATATTAAAGCAGGCGGTGCCTACCTAAATCCTCGAAGATGATCTCCAGGTATACCCGTAATCGGCACCGCCTAATTTAATATTCTGTTTCTCACAAAATTATTGTTGTCCCACTTTCATATTTACATAGCTCATGGGAAAAAACCTCAGCTTTCCAATGAAAATAAAAAAAAATACTCGAATGGGTGAAAATCTAAAAATAAGAGTTGATTTTGAAAAAAAGGGGTCAAAATTTTTTTTTTTAAATTTCGTATACATTTTTGAAAAGTACATGAAAAATGCATTAAAATTCATTATATAGATAAATGAAAATCCATTAACTTTTGTCATAGTTATACGGATTTGAAAATGACAATGTTACCCTTAACGTCAAAACTTCAACCCCCTCTACTTTCTACAAATATTTTTTTAATGAGTTTATATTTTAGGGATTTATTACTATCATACACCGTCCGACACGATTTTTCACTCACGAAAAAATCAATGATTTTCAGAAACTAGGACCAAAAAAAAGATACCCGTGTCATTTTTTGCTTTTAGGGGTAAAAACAACCCTTAAATGAAAGGTGATAGGAAATCTTGTACAAATTAATAATTTTTTATGAAACCTGGTATCTCGGGGTTTTCCAGGTCGCTGATTACGAATCTTATGTCAGATTTTCAAAATTCAAAATGGCGGATCCAATATGGCGGTCGAAATTTATAAAAATTCACCAATTCATTTGAAAGTTGTTACTTAGGGGTTTTTGGGGTCGCTGATTACGAATATGATGTGAGATTTTCAAAATTCAAAATGGCAGATTCTATATGGCGGTCGAAATTTATAAAAGTTCATCGAATTTACTTGAAACTTGTTACTTTAAGGTTTTTGGGGTCGCTGATAACGAATATGATGTCTGATTGTGAAAATTCAAAATGGCGGATCCAATATGGCGGTCGAAATTTATAAAGATTAATTACTTTTTTATAAAACTTCGTATCTAGGGGTTTTTGGGGTCGCTGAGTACGAATCTGAAGTCAGATTTTTAAAATTCAAAATAGATCTAATAATGTGGAAGATTAGAAAACAATATATAAAAAATAAAAATTTCCACATATGTGTTTTTTGTATATTCGACACTTTTTTAATGACAAAACAGGCTTTGTAGTAAGTAAGAATATTTTTATTAGATAACAGTAATAAGCTCAAGTAAGATGAATTTAAAGGTGTGAAGTGATTGTTTAAAACTGATGTGCAAAGTAAAAAAGTCTACCATTGTCATTTGTTTTATGTACTATTTTCCGTAACTATGCAACTGAAAACGAACATATAAACAACTGTCTAATCTTCCACATTATTAGATCTATTTTGAATTTTAAAAATCTGACTTCAGATTCGTACTCAGCGACCCCAAAAACCTTAAAGTAACAAGTTTCAAGTAAATTCGATGAACTTTTATAAATTTCGACCGCCATATTGGATCCGCCATTTTGAATTTTGAAAATCTGACATCAGATTCGTAATCAGCGACCCGGAAAACCCCGAGATACCAGGTTTCATAAAAAATTATTAATTTGTACAAGATTTCCTATCACCTTTCATTTAAGGGTTGTTTTTACCCCTAAAAGCAAAAAATGACCTGATCTAGCAAAACGGCCAGACACGGGTATCTTTTCTTTGGTCCTAGTTTCTGAAAATCATTGATTTTTTCATGTGTGAAAAAAAAAGTTGAATTTTGTCGGACGGTGATATAGGACAACAATTTACCAAAGTATGAAGTCAATCCCAGAACATTGACTTTTTGGGCTGGCTGGGGCGATTGAAAAAGAATCTCTCATTGTTGGGATAAAAGATATTGACGAATGGATTTTCTTATTATATAACTTATATAATCAGTTATATATAACCAGTAAGATCATTTTTTTGTGAATTGATAGTAAAAAAAAGTAAGAGTTTTAAGTAAAAATTTTAAAATATAAATATTAAAATTTTAGAAATAAATATTTTTGATAAAGTCAATGTTCGATGATTTTTTATAATCTTTAAAATCCGAAAAAAATTAGTTTTGCTAAATATTTTGGTGTATTTTCTATAAATATTTCATTGCAAATGGAAATTTTAAATTTATGTTTTTTTCAAAAAATTTAATTAATTGATAATTAATAAAAATGAATTATGTAATCAAAAAGAAAATTAAATTAACCGAAAATTATTAATTATATTTTAAAAAGTATTAAGCAATTAAAAATATTTAAAAATTTTGAAAAAATAAAACCTAAAAAAAACTTTGTAATGTTTTAAACTTTAAACTTAAAAATTAAAATCAAATTGAAAATTTTTTAAAAAAAGCAAACAATTTATTTTCATATTAAAAAGAATTTTTTTTTATTACCAAATGTTTACAGATAAAAAAAATTTAACAATTTAATAATTAATAGTAAAAATAAATTAATAATAATAATATATAATAAATAGTAATGAATATTAAAAAATAATAATTTTAAGTTAATATGTTCTAATTATCTGTAATAATCATTATATTTAAAAAAATGTATATATAATATAATAAATTTATAAATAATAATAAAAATTATATTATAATTGAAACTTTTTTTTCATAAATATCAAGTAGGAAATATACTGGTGCTGCGTTAACCATAAAATATTACGAAATTAAGAATTGTCAAAACTTTAGAAAAACAAAAGGAACAAAAAAAATGACTAACTTCAAGTGTGGACAGACGGAATGAATGAATGAATACGGAAAAATACGGAAATTATTATATTATTATTATTATATATAAATAAAAATAAATAAAATAAATAAATATAAATAAATAAATAATAATAAATAATAAATAATAATAATAATTATTATTATATTATAATAATAATAAAATAATATAATATAATAAAATAATAATTATTATTATAAGTAATAATAATAATAATATAATGTAATTATTTTAAAAGATCAAAATAAAAAATTTTGTAGAGTGTTAAGAACCATCTTAAAATTCTTTTTAAAAAAACTTATTTTCGACATTTCTTATTTTTAATCGAAAATCCGATTTGTCATTTTTTTTAATTAATTAGAGTAAAATTGAGGAGTAAGTTTTCAAAAATTGATAAATCCGTATTTTGTTATTTCGAGAAATTGAATATTTTTTGGATTTAAAACTTAAATCATCTTCGTTAAGCCCAGATGTTATTAAATGTAAATTTCTTTATTAATAAATTTTTGTCTTAAATTCAGCAGTGATAGAACAATTAGTAAGGTCTTTAATATGTTAATTATGCGTTTGTCTCCACTTTTTTTGAAAAATGGATTTATCGACTTTTGAAAATTTTCTCCTTAATTTTATTAAAAAAAGGTATTCAAAATTTTAAGATTTTTTTGAATTATTGTAAAAAGTATACTTGGGGTTATTTTTGGTATAATAATCCCATAGTACATTTCCAATCACAGTTGTGAATTTTTTATCCTCACGCACTGAGTAAGTAATTTTATTATGGCAACATTTACAAAACTATTTAAAGTTACTGTAATCAGTGTAGTAAATCGGTCAGGTTAAATTACAACAAATTGTGTAACAAAAAGGCGCATTCAGAAGTGTTATTATTTCTAGTTTAATGCCCAGTGAGTAAAATATAAAAATCCCATTAAGTGTATTATGGAAAAATAAACTTAACCTTTAAATACCAATGTTCACTATACACAAATTCTTAATTAGTTTGGATATAAAAATTGGTTAAATTATGACAATTATACAAACTTCAATACATAATGAATTACATTAGAATAAAATCACTGACAGACACTTAAATTTCCTAAAATTTTAAGAGAAATATATTTAACTTATTTTTGATCACGTTTCTTTTCTAAATTATTTTCACAACATGAGGGTAGCCGGTGGAACTTTACAGTCACATAAACACGTTTAAATCTGTCGTGGTGGGGGCAGTGGATTGACTGACTCATATTTTGAGAAAAAGGCTGTTTCCCACATTGGCTACTTGTAGCGTAACGATCGGACAGCTTGTGCACTGAAAAGTACGGAAGCGCCTACGAGTCACCAGCGAACTATCTTGTTCGCGTCACATTTTTAGCTGTGAAACCGAGGAACGCGTTCGATGGTTTCGCTGTTTCCTTGTTTTTGAGTGACGATAAAACACACTATACGGTTCGATAGTTCGATGGTTCTCTGGTTTTACTTAGTTCTATCGTTATCGAAGTCTAAATTTTGTATTAAAAAAATAAATTTAAATTTAAAAACCGAAATATAATAATATATTTAAATTATATATTTGAGATATATCAGATATCTTATAATGTGTGCCTAAAAAATTATTTTATTTAAAAATAATAGTACAAAATATTATTTTGAAGTAAGTTGATTTGTTTGCATTTTATATTTGTACTATACTATTAATATTTTGTACTATTATTTTTAAATAAAATAATTTTTTAGGCACACATTATAAGATATCTGATATATCTCAAATATATAATTTAAATATATTATTATATTTCGGTTTTTAAATTTAAATTTATTTTTTTAATACAAAATTTAGACTTCGATAACGATAGAACTAAGTAAAACCAGAGAACCATCGAACTATCGAACCGTATAGTGTGTTTTATCGTCACTCAAAAACAAGGAAACAGCGAAACCATCGAACGCGTTCCTCGGTTTCACAGCTAAAGGCGTTTCTCCAATAAAGGCCTTTCTCCAATAGGATCCTAAACTCTTGCGTTGCGTATGCATTGCGTCGGTTGCTATTGGCAACCAATGCTAAAATCAACGCGTCAGTCACGCAACGCAAAAGTTTAGGTTCCTATTGGAGAAAGGCCTTAAGATCCTAAACTCTTGCGTTGCGTATGCGTTGCGTCGGTTGCTATTGGCAACCTATGCTAAAATCAACGCGTCAGTCACGCAACGCAAGAGTTTAGGATCATATTGGAGAAAGGCCTTAAAGGCCTTTCTCCAATAGGATCCTAAACTCTTGCGTTGCGTATGCATTGCGTCGGTTGCTATTGGCAACCAATGCTAAAATCAACGCGTCAGTCACGCAACGCAAAAGTTTAGGTTCCTATTGGAGAAAGGCCTTAAAAATGTGACGCGAACAAGATAGTTCGCTGGTGACTTGTAGGCGCTTCCGTAGAAAAGAGATGGGTACGCGGAGAGAAGAATCAAGACTTTAAGGTGCTTTTATACCCCAAATTTCGATCAGATGAACATTATTTCTGGACTGTGAAAATGCGTGAAAAGTCATTTTCACGGCGGGTATTTTTGAATTGTTTTAAACAAAAAATGTTTTTTTAAGAAATATAATATTAAATAATTGTTTTAATATGTAAGAACACTTTAAAATAGTGATAGAAAGATGATTTGATTGAAAAATTTAGCAAATTTTGCTTTAAAACGTTTCCTGCTATAAGAAAGTATAAAATGACGACGTTTGTGAAATGGTTTGTACAGTGCTTCTTCCTTGTGAGTGTCTCAGAGTTTTGTTTATGTTATGTCGGTTCTTTTTAACTTGTAATAAATAATGAGTGCTGAAAATAAATCTGTAAGTTGAAATGTTTATCAAATAAATTTAAATTCAACTAATTGTTTTGAATAACTGAAATTAACTTAATATACAGAAAGTATTTGAGAGATGCGTGGAAAATTGATTTATAACCTCAAATTCATACACAAACTTTTTGTGTTTTTAAATATCAAGTTTTATAATTACTTATGATTTTCATAAGTAATTATAATTAATTTTCGAATCAAGTAGTTGAATTTAAAATTACTTAATAAACATTTCAACTTACCGATTTATTTTCAGTACTCATTATTTATTACAAGTTAAAAAGAACTGACATGACATAACATAAACAAAACTCTGAGAGACACTCACAAAGAAGAAGCACTGTACAAACCATTTCACAAACATCGTCATTTTACACTTTCTTGTAGCAGAAAACGTTTTAAAGCAAAATTTGCTAGATTTTTCAATCAAATCATCTTTGTATCACTATTTTAAAGTGTTCTTACATATTAAAACAATTATTTAATATTATATTTCTTAAAAAAACATTTTTTGTTTAAAACAATTCAAAAATACCCGCTGTGAAAATGACTTTTCACGCATTTTCACGGTCCAGAAATAATGTTCATCTTATCGAAATTTGAGGTATAAAAGCACCTTAATTTCAAATGGGTCACGTCAGGACGTTCAAGCCAAAGCCTTCAAGTTTTCTTAGCCAATGTAGATTAAGCTTTAGGAATACATTCGTGGTCAGATATGCCTACACTTTTTTGTCCTTTTCTAACGCCATGACGACACATGCGTAAGACAAAGAAAGAAAAGTGTAGGCCTAGGCCAACAAAATTTGTTAGAAGCAGACGACGCTACTTTGTTTTTGTTGTAACACGTGTGTCAAACAAAATACAAACACAAAAAAGTAAAACGTCAAACAGAAAACATCAATAAATATTTCTGTTTCGTAATTGTATTTTTTTGATCTAAAAATAAATTATACAATACGGATGGAAATTCCGTAGAATAACTGAAACAATTATTATAAGTATATTTGTGATAATTTTATTGTAGTAGTAGTTACTGTACGTGACATAAGTATTATTTATACACACTTGCAAAGTTTTACTCGGGGAAAAACCTGTTGCGCTTATCAAGGTTAAAACTCTGACTCATTAAGAAGAAGTGATGAATTTATATTAGTATTTGATTTGGTGAGTACCAGATGTAATTCATTGTCAATTGTTATCTTGATACATACACACAGTGTTTAAATATTTATTCTTTAAATTTTAAATTATTTAATTTTCTTTCTGTGCAAATCGCGACTGTGCTGGTTTAATTTTATATTTATTAGTATATTAACCCAGTAAAAATGATTAATATAAATAGTAGACCTATGGTTTATCACAACGGAAGTCAAGATTATCGGGATTATTATCAGAATGGTAATTTATATCTTGTTACATTATTTTTATATCAAGTACTGTATTAGGTTATGTTGAGATAGTTTCAAATTTGAAATTGTAAAACGAACATAAATATTACAATTCCTTTTTTTATTGAAAATAATTGTTCTTATTTTAAAAAACATTAAACTCTTTGATAGTGTAACCATAAATATTAAATTTCCATTTCTTTTCAAGAAAAAAATAAATTTTGAATTGTTAAATTCAGTTTTTATTTTTTCCTCACTGAATTGATGCGTCAAATCTTAATATTTTTACGTGAATTGTAACAATCTACTTATGATTTGTGTTTATACAAAATTTTATAAAACCACAATACAGTGATTTTGATATTTTTACTTTAAGGACGTTTATCCACGGAAAAATGATTCGATTTCAATGTAATATGGCCACGAAGTAAGAATAAGGAGTCTTCACTCCATGCGTGGATTGAAGGAAAAATGTTCCCAAATCTGGTACAAGCATTCCGGAAAATTAGAATAGTCGGAGGTGGCGTTCGTAACGGGAAAAACCTTAAACTATTGATTTCCCTAATTAAAGTCGTCTGCTATTTTTGAAAAGTATATTATAAAATCACATAATTTCATATTTTTTAAAAATTAAGTAATTGAATAAATAGTAAATGTTAAATATATGAAATAATATTTGTATTTAAAAAGTCATTTACAAATTAATTAATTTTATTAATTTTAATGAAGTTCTTTAAAAATTCACTAACTTTAAACTTTTTTTTAATACACATTCTTTAACAATCAACTATTGTTTTTTTTGTTTTTACAGTAATCTGTATCTATTTAATTGTAAAAAAGTTTCCATTAAAAATCTATTAAAATTGAATTAATTCAATATAAGAATCTTTCGAATATATGACTTTTCCGAATATCAATTATTTTTAAAATTATTAAAATTCTTTATAAAAGCAAATGTAATAAAAATGTTTTTAATCATATTTAAATAAAATTCAATAATTTAAAACATTTTAAAAACTCTTCAAATTGTCATAAATCACACCTGTTTACAGTGAAATTGCCAATCGTACGAAATATTTTTTTTATTAATAGGTGTTTTTTAAGTAAGAAAAACATATTTTTGGATATTTTTTTCCTTCGTGCAATTTTGCTGAATCTAAAAAAACACATTTTCGAGGTGTGACGTTACTTAAATTCACCTGTAGGAAAATTAGTTTGTCCAAAAAAAATAATATACCATTGGAAAGGTATTATTAAACTACCTTTCGAAATTTCGTCGTACTGTAAAAACAATAATTGATTGTTAAAGAATGTGTATTAAAAAGAAGTTTAAAGTTAGTGAATTTTTAAAGAACTTCATTAAAATTAATAAAATTAATTAATTTGTAAATGACTTTTTAAATACAAATAATATTTCATATTTAACATTTACTATTTATTCAATTACATAATTTTTCAAAAATATGAAATTATGTGATTTTATAATATACTTTTCAAAATAAATAGCAGACGACTTTCATTAGGGAAATCAATAGTTTAAGGTTTTTCCCGTTACGAACGCCACCTCTGACTATTCTAATTTTCCGGAATGCTTGTACCATAGTTGGGGACATTTTTCCTTCAAAGTGAAGACTCCTTATTCTTACTTCGTGAATATGGCTTATTTTCTTCAGAAAATAATTCTCTACAACTTCACCGTAGAGATTTTCAAACCAGCAAGCCGTTAGGAAAATATGGCTATTTGTTTAAAAGAAAAATTTCTATTTTTTTAAATAAATTAATTATAGCCATATTTTCCAAACGGCTTGCTTGTTTGAAAATCGCCACCGTGAAGTTGTAGAGAATCATTTTCTGAAAAAATAAGCCATATTACATTGAAATCGAATCATTCTTTAAAAATTCTGTTCGCATAGTAGATCTTACTATCGTGTCAGTTCAATCTACTAAACAGAATCGTTCATTTTGGCAGACTAAACAGTCAGTTAAATGGACTATTTCTGTTTAGTAAAATGTAATGGAGCATATTCATGTTTGCCGAAAAAAAAATTACCGACAGGAACGAAATTTCCAGTTGTCCACAATTAAGCAGGTTGTTGACAACCAATCACATTTATGCATTTCTTTTCTGTCGGTAAATTTTTTTTTGTGAAAGAACTATATAGTAGTCCCTCTGACTATACACTGTTTAGTAGAATCTGCAATAAACGCATACTAAACGTGTTTAGTGAATATAACAATAATATTAATAATAATAATAATAAATCAATAATTATAAAATTTTGTAAGTTCAACAACACTATTAAATAAAATAAGATAACAATTTTTCACATATTTAGTGACTGTATAAATTTAAATTAATATATAATAATTATTAAAAATTGAATAATGATTTCCCAGATTCCATTTGTGTAGTAAATCTATTATTATTGCATCCATCGTTTGAATTAATCATAAAATACACTTTGACAAATCTGTAAAATTTGCTTGATAAATTTGTTACATTAGTAACAAAGGCGAAAACACAAAGGAAAAATCACATTCTACTTTTATTATTTTTTTCAGTGTAATCGTCCCACACAGAAGCGGATGTTTTCTATAAGATAGCATAAATAATATGCTTTAAAAATTATGTCCAAATTTCAAGTTAATTGATAAAAAAAATAAAATAAATATCAAATTTTACTCCATTATTATTATGATTAAATAATTCTCTGACTTTACCCCCAATTTATTTAAAAATAAATTTTCAAAAACATCTTCTAATCACTACTTTTAAATATGTGCAAAACAAGATTTTAACCTTTAAATTACAAAAAATATAGTAAATTTTAATTTCATCATTTTTTGCATAAAATGTTTGCAAATTTCAGTTCAAAACACACATTTTGAAAAAAAAGTTCTAAAATTAATGTATTTTTAAGGAAGTTATGAGCATTCAAAAATAAAAAATCATTAAAATTCTATAATTTTGAAAAATTCATATCTTATAAACATCTTGATGGCAAATTTTTTTTTAAAAAAAACCATGAAGCTCTTTTTTGGAGGGTACAAAACGGTAAAAAAATATGAGCCAAATCGAAGAGGCCAAAATCGTCGATATATTGGTTTGGCATTAACAATGTTAGCTAATTGTTTATTAACAATCCACTAATTCAAAATACTTCATATACGGCTCATTTGATTAATTAATTAATTAATATCTCGACAACAAGAAAAACTCGCATTGAAACCAAGGGTTCCGTAGTTCAACTTAAGGGAAAAGTCAACTTTTTTTCAAAATTTTTATTTTTCGAAAAAAAACTCAATTAAAACAATTATATATCATGTTTATTAAATTTTTCCTATAATCTACACTTAAGAATACGTAAGAATGAATCTTTTTCAAACCCTTTAGATAAAATTTTCTTGGTTTTTAGGGAAAAATTCATGATTTTTATCGAAAATTATTAGTTTTTTCTTGAAAATGCTATGATAATCAACTCCAATCGTGCTCTTTATATTTTTTTTGTAATCTACACGTAAAAATATGTGAAAATATATAAAATTGAATCTCTCTAGATAAAATTTTTTTCTTTTGCTTCCTCATGAGAAAGCTTTGCATTCGTGACGATTTTCAATTTTTCAAAATAAGGTTGTATGGACTCATTCTCATCTAGAATTAAAATATCTGAGAAAATGTCCATATGTATATGTGTGTGTGTATGTCACAAAATATTGTGTACAAATTATCTCAGAAACATTTTAACGGGTTGTCCTGAAATTTTGTATGCTTAATGCAGTCATTAATAGCTAAAATCTGACACAAGGATTTCCAAATATATATTCACAACATTTTTTTTTACAATTTTTTCAAAATTTAAAAATTATTTTTTTTTTAAATTTTCTTCATTGTAAATTTAATTTTGTTTGGTAAAAAACTTATTTCTTGCACTAAAACGAATCGATTAACCTATATAAAGTTCATATTTTAGTGAAATTTATTGATTAAATCATTTTTTTAAAAAATCGTTTATTGTATTTTTTGAAATAACTTTTTCTTATATTGAAATTTTAATTAATTCTTGTCAAAATTTTATTCCTGGCATAAAAACGAATCGATTGATGTATATAAATTATAAAGTTCACATTTTACCAATATTTATAAAATTGATCGCCATTTTAGTTGCAATCCTTCTTTTAATCTTGAATATAAGTGTATCATAATGAGGAAGCTGAATGGTCATGAAATGAACACCTTGTTTTTATTGGAAAAATACATGATTTTTTCTAAAAATATATTAGTTTTCCTTAAAAACAATATGATCATCAACTCCAATCGTGCTCGCTATATTTTTCCTGTAATCTACACGCAAAAATACGCATGTAGGGGAAGGTGGGGTAATGGAACCTTTTAAATTTCAAGTACACAGAGACTTTCGGTTTCGTGGAAATAACTCGGAAAACTTGAACAATCTTCCTGTATGTCATACGAAAACAAACGGTCACATTTTTGACAGATTTGTAGAAACTACAAGGAAAAATCAAGTTTTCGAGTTTTTCTTCTTAAATGGAAAATATTTCCGGAGATCAAAGTAAATGGTTAAAATTTTTTATTTAATATATGTTTTGTGATTTTATTAGAGATAAATATGTGTAGATTTAGATACATGAATAAAAATAGAGGTAATAATTAAATTTGTATATGTTTTTCTTCTTTTTTGCTTCCTTGTGGAGGAAGCTTTGTAGTCCTTTCGTTTATAAAACTTTTCAAAGTGGCGGAAACAAATTTCTTTCTTTATAGAAACATGTTATATGAGATCCTGATCAATTGTCCGGATGTATGTATGTATGTGTGTGTGGATTCCTTTTTTGTTTAGAAGATAACTTTAACAGGTTTTAATGGATTTAGATAAAATTTGGTAGGCTCATTTATCATATTAATATCTCAAATCTGACCAAAGGATTTTGAAAAATAACCCAAAAAAAAAATTTTATCTTCTTTTTTCCAAAATTTTTTTTTTAATCGAAAAAATTTTTAAATAGAAAAATTTAATGTTATATATAATAAAATCGTATTCCTTACGTCAAGACGAATCGATCGATATATATATATATATATATATATATATATCTACCTATATTACAAAAAGATATCGCCGCCAACGCCGCCGCCGCCGCCGCTGTTCCAAGACTCTGAATATAGCCGCAAGTCAAGAGAAGGGGGGGGGTAGAAGAGAAGGGAGAGGGGGGACTTGCGGCTATATTCAGAGTCTTGAAACGAACATAACCTTTAAATTTAGGGTGGGGGAGGGGAAAAGGAGGGGAAGAGAGGAGGGGGGATGGGGGTTGGCGCGCGAAGCCGCTGTTCCAAGACTCTGAATATAGCCGCAAGTCAAGAGAAGGGGGGGGTAGAAGAGAAGGGAGAGGGGGGACTTGCGGCTATATTCAGAGTCTTGAAACGAACATAACCTTTAAATTTAGGGTGGTGGTGGGGAAAAGGAGGGGAAGAGAGGAGGGGGGAGGGGGGTTGGCGCGCGAAGCCGCTGTTCCAAGACTCTGAATATAGCCGCAAGTCAAGAGAAGGGGGGGTAGAAGAGAAGGGAGAGGGGGGACTTGCGGCTATATTCAGAGTCTTGAAACGAACATAACCTTTAAATTTAGGGTGGTGGTGGGGAAAAGGAGGGGAAGAGAGGAGGGGGGATGGGGGTTGGCGCGCGAAGCGCGCAGGGGGCATAGCCCCCTAGTATATATATATATATATAAAGTATACATTTGAGGTAAATTTAAAGAATTAAAGAATGTTAAAAAAACAAAAATTCACATTTTGGCAATAAAATTTTGCTTTCTCCACCAGGAAGCAAATTTTTTTGCTGATCGTAAAGAGGAAGTAAAATATTCATGTAATGAACATCTGAATTTACAACTTGTTTCAAATTGTGGTCTGTGAAAATTCTTTGAGGTAATGGGAGAATTGTGTCAGCCAGCAGAGTTTCGTTACCTCGATATGGCTTTTGTTATTTTTTTGAAAATTAAACAAGATTCATTTATAAAATTTGATATTGTTGCATATTTAATTGCTAAGAATCAATATTTGTGTTTTATTTTCTAAAATGTGTTATTATAGGATATTCTAATACTAAAAAAACTGTAGGTCTTTTTTATGTCTCAAATAATTTGTAAAATGTTCATCTGCTCTCTAAATCTGAATTAGTAAAAACGTTTACTAATTTAAATTACTGACTCACATTTTGCTTTAGAGTTAGTTAAATTTTACTAATTGTTAGTAAAAGTTACTAATCATTAGTAAAATTTTACTAATTCAGAAGCAAAAAGTTTACAGAGTGTCGAGAACTATTGACAAAATAAGAAAAATATCTAAAGAAAATAAAAATTATATCATTTTATTGGAATTTCAAGTGAGAGCTCCCAATACCCCACAGGTGGGGTAATGGGAGAAAATGCAAAAAATGACCAAAACAATATTTTATTATAACAATAAGTTGGTTTTTTAATCATTGTCCTCATGGGGCTCCAATTCCCCCATTTTCCCCTATACCAAATATGAACTGTCTTGCTGTCAAATAATGTGTGCGCTAGGAAGATTAAACGCTTTTCCAAAATTTTTAATTTTTCCTTAACAACGCTATGTAAGTCGATCCCAATCATGTTCGCTATATTTTACCTATAATCTACACGCGAAGATTCATATTTAATTTTAAAAATCGTACTCATTAAATATAAGCATAAAAAAGGCACGAGGCTCGCATTTCTATATCATGCATGCACCTTCATGACATGCGAGAGTAATGCGTCTCATATGAGGACCAGGGTGTCTAACGGTCAGGGAAAGTCAGGGAATTTTGTTGGTCAGGGAATTTCAGAAAATTTCATTCAAAGTCAGGGAAATTTCTGAAAATTTCTACAAAAATTAAAATTTGTTGTGAATTTAAAAATTTTTTAATCTTAAAAAACTTGAATGGTTTTTATTACCATTTGTTACTGTCATTGAAAATTATTTTATTGTTAAATATGTCAGTAACCATATTTTTGTCAAAAGAAAGCAGAAATAAGGTTATTAAAAAGTCAGGGAAAAATCAAAAAATGTCAGGGAGGAGTCAAGGAATTTTTTTCTCAATCCTTGTTAGACACCCTGGAGGACGTGCTTCTGTCTGTACGGGTGACTGCACTAGAGCCGAAAAAAAGTTCACAAATGCGAGTGATATGCGACTCATATCGCTCTCATTTTGCTATCTAGAAATATACGTGTGGCAAATTCGGATCTTTTTTTTGAATAAAAATGCATTAAATATAGAAAGCAACTATTCTCATTTCTATAAGCATTAAAAAAAATTTGCATAATCAAGGATTTAATATGAATAAAATATATTCAATTTGGTATTAAAATTAGAAATTTAAATTCTTCACATTGCAAACTTTCTTACCGGGTAATTTTATAAATGTATAATGTGAAATTTGTATTTTTAATGTATTAATAAAATTTATATATTTTTTTGTAAATTCAGGATCATCCCAAATGAATATAATTGGAAATTTTAGTCCAAGTGAAATGGATTCATTAAGTGTTAACGGCTTGGATATGTCTCCAATGTCGATTGATTCATCTCCAATTCATGCTGCAAATTATATTATGTTCGAGGGTGCTGCTGGTACATAACAGAAAAATAATTTATTATTACTTTCGTATAATACATTATTTGATAAATGTGAAAGTAAACAAAATTTTATGTTGTAGTTCTTGAACCTCCATATATAAGGATTATGGTACAGCCTGTCGATAAATTTAGATTTCGTTATAAATCTGAAATGATGGGAACACATGGTAGCCTTTCTGGAGAAAGAGATGAAACCAGTCAGAAAAAAGAAGTTCCAACAGTTCAAGTAATTTCTTATTGGTATTTTCAATATTTCAATCAGTTTTACGGGTATTTTTTCAAAATTTAAACAAATATATTATCCTTGATCATTTATGTAAATTAAATTTTATTTATTATAATAGATTTTATTTCACTTTTAGCTCCTTAATTATCCTGGAAATGCCGTAATAAGATGTTCTCTAGTCACTTCTGAAGAGGACAATAGAATGCCTCATGCTCACCATTTGGTAAAAAGAGAAGGAAATCAAGAGTTGGATACTTTTCATGAAATAGAAGTATCTGAGGAAAATGAACATATTGCAGTGTAATTTGAAAAATTTAATTTCTTTATTGCTTATAGTTTTAATGTTGAAAGTAATTTTATGGTTTTTGTTAATTTGTTGAAAAAATATTCGCATTGCTATTAATTTGTTTTATTTTCTATATCTTCTATGTTAGATTCAACGGTATGGGTATTATTCATACGGCTAAGAAAAACATTAAAGACGAGTTGGTCCGCAAGAAAAAAATAGAAGCTCTTGAAAAATGGAAACAAAAAAACGTAAATTTACGTATAAAGGAACTGAGTGTAACAGAACTAACAAAGGCATGTAGAATGTATTTATTACTTTAACTCATATTTAATCACGTTGAAAACTTAATATTTTATTTGTTCTTTTAGATTAATCAAGATGCTGATGAAGCTGTAAAAACTATGAATCTTAACAGTGTTAGTTTATGTTTTCAAGCGTTTTACCGCGACAATAATGATGTCTTACAGATATTAAGTGATCCCGTATATTCCCATCCTATAAATAACCTAAGTAAGTACTTTTCTTTAAGTTTTCAAATAATAAAAATGGTGTTAGCAATTTTATGTATTATATATAGAAGTTCAATAATTTGTCTCCAACACTTTTACTTGCTTTATTGACTTTTGAACACACACACATTGTTCAAACTTGTGTTTGAAAAAACCTTTTTTGACATTAAAAACTTTCGTATAGAACAATTGAGCGGCCGGGAAGAAGAATTCGCCGAGCGCTCGGCTGGCCTCTATGTTGACAGTCAAACACCCAAAAATGCAGATAAAATTAAAATTCGAAGTTTTGATTTTTGAAAAGTACTACCTTGTAGGAAATAAAGAGGGTTACTTGGCGCACTTTTTACTCTTTGTTGTGTAACTCACTCATTTTTGCTTTTTTAAAAAGTTAATGTGTAGAAAACTTGTTGTAACATATCAGCTTTAATTTAAAAAAAGAAAGTTAAAATATATTTAATACTTTTATTTTTATACCACTTTATTTGAAACTGTGCAAAGCGCGCCAAGAAACCCCGGCCCGGGGTTGCGTGGCGCAGGAGTGAAATTAAAATTAAATTATATGATTTAAAGTTTAAGTAATATAAGACTTAACAAAATAAGTCTTGTACTGTAATTTTACAATAAGATGCGCCTCTTTGTTTCCTACAAGGTAGTACTTTTCAAAAATCAAAACTTCGAATTTTAATTTTATCTGCATTTTTGGGTGTTTGACTGTCAATATAGAGGCCAGCCGAGCGCTCGGCGAATTCTTCTTCCCGGCCGCTCAATTTACTAAAGAATTGAGCCAAACCAATGTTATAAATTTTTGTATTCTTTTTGAAAGAAGAAATATCAATTTTCCAGAAAATAATTTAAAACCTACAACATTTATTTCTTTATACAATTTGCATAGGATACAAATTTTCTGTCATCGCTTCTACACAATTTTTTAAAAATGATTCGATTTTAATATAATATGACTTATTTTCTTCAGAAAATGATTCTCTACAACTTCACCGAGAGGATTTTCAAAATAGTAAGTTGTTTGAAAAATATGGCTATTTTTTTTTTTTTTTTTTTTTTTGAAAAAATTTAAATTTTTCTTTTAAGGGGTAACACTACTCTAGAATTTTCAAAAAAACGATTTTTTTTTTGTTAAAATGTACTTTAAGATTGTAGAAACAATAGGCAGGTGATTCTATGGCGAAAAAAATTTTTTTTAACCCTTTGAGTGTCACTAATGCATCATATAGGTGTCATGACTGAACACTGAACAACGCCATGTTGGAACTACGTAGCCGTTTTTTGATTTAATGTAAACTTTTTTTTGTAAACAATTTACTGCTTGTTTTTTGGCAAAAAATCGATTTTTTTCAAAGTGCTACCATTTGTACAAATTTTGATTTAAAAAAAAACCCTACGTAGTTCCATAGTCAATAGGGTAGAGATTCAGAAAATTCTTGGATTTTTGTTCTAGGTCTTACACCTTCCTAGAAAATCGTCCTCCCGTGTAGGTGTTTTAAAAATTCAAGATTTTTGAGCCGGACTCTATCGCCGCCATTTTATATTAAAATAATAATATTAAATTTATTTTTTATACTTGAATATGTGTTAAATAAACCTATCTGAAGAAAAATCCTATTCCTTTTATCCTACTGCAAATATAAATCGTCAAAGTTAGGCTATTTTTCTAACCGCTAGAGTGGTGTTACCCCTTAAACAAATAGATATATTTTTCAAACGGGTTTGCTTCTTTGTAAATCCGCTCTGTGAAATTGTAGAAAATTATTTTCTCGAGAAAATAAGCCATATTACATTAAAATCGAATAATTTTTAAAAAATTTTGTAGAAGCGATATGACAGAAAATTTATATCCTATGCCAATTGCATAAACAAATATATTTTGTAGATTTTAAATTTTTTATCTTGAAAATTCATATTTTTCTTTCAAAAAGTACATAATAGCCCTTGTTGACGGTATTACATTATTGTCTTGTAAGCTTACTTTTTTATATTTGCATCAATCTTCTCTGAATATCATTTTATTATATTAATTCACAATTAAAATTAATTACAGAAAGTGCATTAACGGGAGAGTTAAAAATTTCTCGTATTGACAAACACACAGGTAACTGTGAAGGATCTGATGAAATTTTCATTTTGGTTGAAAAAGTTGGTAAAAGTAAGTCGAAATTTATTTTTTATATATTCATAAATACATGCAATAGAGTTGAAGGGGGCGAAACCTCTAATTAATTTAACAATTTATATAAATGATGATATGAATAAAGTGAACTTTCCCACTTTGTCTGTTCTTATTTTCGAGAAAATCACAATTTATTAATTTCAACCAATAATCTTGATCGGGATGCAATTCGAACAAAAAAGGATCATACCTACATGAAAAACCGCACATAATTCGAAATCACCGTGATTTTTCCCCAAAATCTAAAAAGTCGACATTCCAAATGATCTAAATTTATTAAGTCGACATACTGAATGGTCGTTTTATTAAATGATCGACATTTAAAATGCTCGAAGCTTTAATACATTTCGATCATTTGGAATGTCGACTTTTTAGAATTTGGGGAAAAATCATGCGCCTCCACAAGTTGAAAAATGCACCTCACAAAGTCTCACTTTGTCGATATCTCATTATTTTCAAAACCAAAAGTAAAAAAAAAATGTTAACCTATTGGTTTTTCATCAGACAGGTGCTTCTGGCTCAAAAAAATTATAACCTGAATAAATTGCCGGAAATAACCGAAATATTTATACCTCAATCTTTAATTCTATTTTTCTCAAAATAAGGTTTTCGGCATTCTAAACTTTGAAATGCTGTAACTCCGTAGTTTTTCACTTAAAAGGTTCCAAGAACGCTTAAAAATTTTCCAAATTTCGCCAAAATTATGCATATGTAGATAAGTCCAATATAGTGCCAAAGTGGTCCCTATTCATGGGGACGTCCACATATGATTTATTATTACATACTCTGTAAATTACTTTTTTCAGAAAATATAAAAATTAAATTTTACGAGTTAGATGAATCAGACAATGAAATCTGGTGCGATTATGGAAAATTTTCAGAATTGGATGTGCATCATCAATACGCTATCGTATTTAGGTGTGTTTCTTATAAATGTTTACTTTGTAAAGTGATATAATTTAATTAGCCGATATTTTGTTTCACAGAACTCCCGCATATAAAGATACATATATTGAATCTTCTAAAACTGTGTTCATTAAGCTAGAAAGGCCATCAGATGGAGAGTGTTCCAATAGCGTAGCATTTACATATAAAGCCAGTGAGAAAATTCAAAGTAAGTGTGAATAAATAACTATTATAGCTAAAGCGATTTCGCATGTCAAACGGAACATGAGACCAGGCATTTTTCGTAATTTTGTCTTTCAAAGTCACCATTTTATTAAATTGAGGGGCTATATACCAGTGTGACGGTTGAAAAATAAGGTGTTTTTTGGGAATTTTTCTAACACTGGGGTCAAAATATAATAATTTATATATTTTATATAAATTTTTTTAAATAATAAATAATATATAATAGAGGCATTCTTTGTTAACGCGGACACCCCCTGCTCGCCCAAATTCTTTTCATTCTAAATTCATCTTTAATGGCTTAAATTTTAGATCAAGGAATATACTTTTGAAATCTGAGTGGCATATTTCCAAATACAAAGGCTAAAAAGGTCTTAAACATTACTTTTTGGATTATTGAAAGTGAATTACAGTAACTTTTTATTAGTAAATTTAAGGAATAACCTCCATATTGGATCCTACATTTTGTTTTGTTTAAAGTAGCACTAAAATGCAATTTTTTTTTTAGAATACTATACCTCAAGTTATCAAAGCTTAATTTTTAGAACTTTAAATGATAAAATAAAACAGGGGGTCAATTACGTAACTTTTTCCGTATTCCGGATTCCCAATTTTACATTCCGGATTCCATATTTTGGTTTCAACTTTTCAGATTCCACATTCTGGATCCGATTTTTCACATTCCGGATTCCACTTTCAAAATTCCGTATTTCGAATCATATATTCCACATTCCGGATTCCACATTTCAGATTCCACTCTCAGAATGTGGGATTTGGAATCCGGAATTTTGGAAGTGGAATCAGGAATGTGAAAAGTGGAATACAGAATGTGGAATCTGGAATGTGCAAAGTGGAATCCGCAATGTAGGAACCAGAGTACGGAATGTAAAATATGGAATCTGGAATGTTAAATCTGAAATACGCAATTTTGAAAGTGGGATCCGGAATAGAGAATTTGAAAGCGGAATCTGGAATACAGAATTTGGAAAGTGAGATCCGGAATGTGGAATGCGAAATGTGGAATACGGAATGTAGGATCCGGAGAACGGAATTTGGAAAGTGGAACCCCGAATCTGAAATACGGAATTTTGAAAGTGGAATCCGTAAAAAGTTACGTAATTGGCCTCCAGTTCTGAATTTTTTTTTGTAAAAATTGACATTTTTTCTACTTTTTTCATTATTTTAATTCTTTAAGTACTTAATGTTAATTTCTAGTCATTGCACATAAAGTGTTTAGTATAGTCCCTTAACTTTCTTTTTAGTAAAATTTAATTGATAGACTAGTTATATATTTTATTTTAATATGTATTAATAATTTAAAGTTAACATTGCCTCAATATTCTAATATTGCAGCAACATTGCAGAAATATTGACAATATATTAAAACAATCTTGTCAAAATTGATGTAATTGTAGGTGAAGGTATTGATCATTGAGTTTCAGTTTTTGCCCAAAAATTCTATTTTTTATTATTTTTTTAAATTAAAAAAACAAAACTATGGCTTTTATGGATTTTAGAGCCTAATGATCAAACTGTATTTAGGTAATATATGTATATTTATTATATCAAGGGCATGTGGTTTGATGTTTTAAAACTTTAAAAATTTTAAGAATTACGATGTTGACAATTTTCATAAATGTTTATAGGTTATGATATGTTAATTTAATTATGAACTTTTCGGTATGTATTGTTTATTTTAGATAAAAAACGTCCTAGAGTCTCTTACTCCACAAGTACTGAGTTTCAAATTTCTCAACCAGTGAACAACGTGAATTCAAATAGTCAAATAAGTACAGAATTGATTTTTAATCTTATCCAACAAAATGCATCATTACCCTCTGAAGATTTGAGATCAGCTATTAATGACATCAATATAGATTTTATCGATAGTAAGAAGTTAATTACTTTTTTATAAATGTATAGAAATTTATATTTTATTAATAAATTACTTATAAATTTTTTTCGCTTAAAGATTACACCAACCTTGTGGACGATTATGATGGTTATAATGTAACAGATGGCTCCACACCCAATCGTGTAAGTTTACTCTTTGAATTAATAATTAAAGTGATTGTTGCGTAGTAATTCTAGCGACAGTTTCAGATTAACATTTAATCGATTTTATTTAATACTATTTCAAAGTATTTAAAAATGTATTTATGAACCAATCGATTTCTATATATGTACATTGATGTATTAAAGAAACACTGCGTTTTAAATAGGGTAAGTCTGGGGGAGTTGGCCATAGTTTTTTTAAAGGCCTGTAAAAATAAGAAGAAAGTGATTTATGTATTAACTTTTATTGCTAATGAAACATTGAACATTTAACTTACAAATAATAATAGAAATGATAAATTTTTTAAATGTAAACAATCTTAAAATTAAATGCGCTTGTACACCTCACAAATTCTGAGTATCCTCGGAATTTGTCAGAAGTTTCACTAACTTTGATTGGCTTTGCTCATAGAGAATTTCGAAATTTTCCTTTCTTTTGGAAATTCTCCATGAGCAAGGCCAATCAAAATTAGTATAACTTTTGACAAATTCCGAGTATACTTAGAATTTGTGAGGTGTACAAGCGCCTTAATATTTTTTAAAAAACACGTTTGGCCATCTCACCCGGAATGTACGGGGGAGATGGCCAATACTTTAAAATCATTCTTTGGCTTTTCGCTTTATCAGAATTCTTTATTTAAAGTGATTAATATCTTTTTTTCTTCTTCTGACCACATTTCGATCATTTATCATTAAATTCAGTGCAATTTTCATGAAGCCAAAGGTGACAATCATTGCACTGAATCCAGTCTTCGATAAGCGCTCTCTGTTTGTCTGTCTCACCAACACAACAAGGCTACAAGGTATTTTTTTGAGATATCAGAGTGGTTTCCAATTTATTTTTGTGTCCTAAACACGATTCCGGATTCCAAAATTGCGTATCACGTCAGGATTTTGAGTAAAGTGGGAGTAAAGTATCCAAAAACCGTAGTGTTTTTGAGGGTTTTCAGTATAATTTTTCTCCTTAACCTGACGTGATAGAGACTTCTATATATAGGCTTAAATTAAAGCTTATATCTTACACTTTAAGACTCATGTGCGCAAGGAAAAAAAATTTGAAATTTAAAAAAAAATTAGGTTCAAGTCACCTAAAAAGATTTTTGGGGTATTTACCCCCATTTTTTTTAAATTTAAAATTTTTCTTAATCCTGCGTAAATGAGTCTTAAAAAGTACGATCTAAGCTTTAATTTAAGCATATATAGAAGTATCTAGCACGTCTGGTTAAGGAATAAAAAAATAATGAAAACCCTCAAAAACACTGTTTTTGGAGACTTTACCTCCACTTTATTCAAAATCCTGATGTGATACGCAATTTTGAAACCCGGAATCGGGTTCAGCACACAAAAATACATTGGAAACCACTCCGCTATATATGTAAAAAAGTCTTATTTTGTAGACCTGTGTTATGATTGTTTATAAACGTTTTTAACACACTATTACACACTAGTGATTATTTTATTTGATCATATTTAAATTTGAAAATCTTTGTTGGAGTGTCTTGTTGTAATATATGTCATAAAAAATGTCATTTGCTACAGAATGAATGTTTTTTTAGCGAACACACGAATCTCAAGGGTGCCAATAACTTAAACAGAATGGCCATCTCACCTCGAAAAAACATGGCCATCTCTCCTAATGTCAGGAGACAAATTGACACAACTAAAATTTAAATAAATAAATAAATTTTTTGAATAAATATAAAGTTATGACAAAGCTTGGGTCATGTACTTTACAAAAAAAAATGAAATTCAAAATTAATCTATAAAATAACATAACACCAGTGAGAAATGTAAACTCATCACTTTTTTTCCGAACTAGTCAAAAAAACAAATCAGATTTTTACATACTTTTTCAATATTTTTCGTGAAGTTTTTTCTTTTAATTGTGTTTTGCCACAAAACAAAGCGAACTAATCTTTAATAAGCGATACCTAGCAGCAAATTCTATAAAATATTTGAATTGGCCATCTCTCCCGCATGGCCAACTCCCCCGGACTTACCCTAGTATAACTACTTTATTTAAAAATTATTTAATAATGAAAATTAATAAATTCATATAAGGGCCGTCCATAAACTACGTGACCACTTCTGGAGGGAAAGGGGTCATGTTCATAACTACGATTTATAACGCGAAGAGGGGTTCGACAAAGTAACGTTACAAGTGAAATGTACTCTATGTCAAAAAAATTATTGAATACATAAGTAATTATGTTTCAGATTTTTAAAATGTTTACTTAACATAGTATTAGAAGATATGAAAATTCTATATTTAACAATTTATTTTTAATAAAATTAAAAGAGAACATTTTCACTTAGGTATTAATTAAATTGTTCTTACGTAAAAAGAATAGAATTCTAAATAAACAAAATTTAGACACAATTTTATTTTAGGTTTTAGTTGAAGGTAACGTTACTTTATTAGGGTTCACAAATAAACAGAATACACTGAGAAAAAAGGTTTGAGCTGACAACCAAATATTTCATTTAATATATGTGCAACTAAAATTTTTTGGTTGACACAACTAAACTTTAGTTGACATCAACCAATGTTTGGTTGAGACTACCAAATTCTTTTTCATTTTCTTATTTAGTCGTCTGAAACAAACTTTGGTTGTTGTCAACTAAAGTTTAGTTGTGTCAACCAAAAAATTTTAGTTGCACATATATTGAATGAAATATTTGGTTGTCAGCTCAAACCTTTTTTCTCAGTGTATTTGTGAATATTATTGATTGAATGTTAGTCTGTAACTTGAACTTTTTAAAAATAGTTTTATTTAATTAAGAAATAAACACGCTGCAAAGCCCTTACAATTAAGCTTTTTTTTAAATAATTATTTAATATAATTATAATCTTATTGATAATAATCTTCTTGTTAAATGAACTCATATTTGCTTTTATAATCCTACGTTTTTTTTGGAAATTTCTTACGATATAATAAATTTTCAAGATTACTCGTGGCGAGTGTTATGATTTTGTATGCATGTGTATATTTACTAATTTTAATAAGCATTTTGTTCTTGATCAGAATGATGAAACTTTTGCGAAAGATATGTTAGCTGAAATCATTGATGTAATGAAAAACAAGAATTTATCAGATGTAAAAAGTAAAGTCATGTCTCTTCTAAAAGAAGTCACAACTTATGGTGATACTCCACTTCATGCAGCTTTGCGGTATAATCAAACTGATATAACGAAAACTTTAATAATGATTTTTTGTCTCCACCAAGATTTTAAATCACTCGTTAATGCTGAAAATAGTGTCGGAAAGGTGAGTTATGTGTTTTACTATATATACACGGAGAAACTTTTTATATCACATTTTGTTAAACTCACCATGTATTTTTAGTAAAAAATTTAGTAAAAAATTTTTTTTATAGACTCCCTTACATTACGCAGTGATTCAAAGTCAACCAGAAGTTGTGAAAGCATTGCTGATGTTAGGTGCTGATCCTAATATTTCGGATGAAGAACACAACATTCCTCTTCATGTAGCAGTTTGCAGTAAGATAATTTTATTCAGCATAATACTATTTTTTATTAAAATTCACATTATTTCAAACGGGTACCTATCACAAAATTGTGTTGTCGGTATCGCTTTCATTGAGGGATTCATTTTCCTTCTTTCCCCTTCTTATTGTATTTCCATGTATCATTGAATTTGTCTTAAGGGAATGCACCACCTTTATTTTGAGTACTTTAAATTTTAATGATGGCAGGAAGTTATATTTTTTTCTTGCATTATTTGGGTCCTAAAAATATACAGAATGGTCAAGAAATCAAAATTTTAATTTTTGACCATTTTAGAATTTTTATTTTTTGAAAAAATTAAAACTTTTAAAAATTCATACGAGAGATTCAGAAGAATCATTAAAAAAGAGTGGAAAAAATAGTCAAAATTATGAAAGAAGATAGGGGAGACAGGGACAAACCGGCCATGTTAACAGTTATAAGGCTCTAGTAACTAAAGAAACTAATGAAAAACCTTTTATAACAGCTTGTTGGAAAGGTCATCTAATTGCGCAACTTTTTCCTAGAGACACATGTACCTTAAAATGTATTGTTTAGCTGCTGCATCAATTTTAAAAAAATTTGCAAACTGGCCGGTTTGCCCCACACCTGAGGTAAACCGGCCAGTTTATGTTTTTTGTTTGTTTAGAGAATTAATTGTAAGGAAAACGTCACTAAATATAAAAAATCAATAAACAATCTTCCCAATAAGGAAAATAATAAGATAGGATTAAATTTCAATTAAAGAAACATCTTATTTATTATAAAACAAATATTTTCAACTAATTGTTGTCGTTCACGAAGAAAAGTCTGTCGGTGAACTTTGTAAAACTTCGTAAATCTCCGTAAAATGGACAAAGATTCACGAAAGCGTGCACGAATTTTTCTAGCCGATAGGTAATCTTTGTGAATTTCTGTTGCAAGAGAAACAGACATAGGCCGGTTTGCCCCCCAGGCCCGTTTTGACAATTAGGATCTGTATAAAAAAATGCTTAGTAAAATCATTAAATAATATACCGATAAATTTAACTGAGGCATGCACCTTTTAAACCTAAAAAACAATTTTAATAAATATTACACGATTTTCTTACAAATTGCTTATGAACAGATCCGTAAAAATTTCTAGCGGAAGCGAAAAAACAAACTTTTGTTTATAAAATTGCCTAAACACAATTAAAAAATGTCAAACTGAAGAAATAAGTTATTTTTACTATAGTCTTTTCAAATTTATAATTGACATATTTTAAAGTTTGACCATTTCTGAGAAACTAACACCTGTCCGGTTTACCCACATGTCCGGTTTGCCCCAGTCTCCCATAGATATTTAAAATATTAATTTTATTAAGACTTTAATTTCTAAAATGGTTAAAAATTAAAATTTTAGGACCCAAATGATGCTTGATGATGATTAGTTGTATCTATCAATTCGACAGTTTTTTTTTAACTTTTGAGTTGATTTTTGTTATTTGAACTTGATGATAACTCTTAAAAAATGCGCGACTAAAACAGAATTCATAGAATTTTTTTAGACAGATATTTTATCCATGATGGAAATTGCACTTCCACATAATTATTTAAGACAAATTTTGTCTGAAAATATTCATATACCTATTTTCCGAGATTTCTTACATATGTTTTTGAAATCTTGGAAATAACCAGCATATGATTATAGACCTTGACTTTTTGCAGATAATTAAATAACATATTTTTTTTCATGAATTTTAGTGCCAGATGGAGCTTTATGTGTCGACGTATTATTAGCAGCCAAATCAAACGTAGAAAGTGCAAACGAGGCAGGCTGGATTCCTTTACATCTTGCATCAAAGGCTGGCTCTTTATGTGCAATCAAATCACTTATTAGAGCAGGAGTGGATGTAAACAAGACGGATCTTTCTTATGGACGAACAGCTTTGCATATTGCTGTAGAAGGCGGTCATAAAGATATTGTTGAATTTTTATTAAATGAGGTAAAAAATTATTAATTTTACCCAATCTTATGAAAATATGATTTTTACACTGGCATCTTTCTTCAATAATTTTCATAAATTTAACTGACAACGTTAATTTAAATTGATTTATAATAATAAATGTTACAAAATTTATTTGTAGACTAAAATTGTAGTAAACAAAAAAAATTTCGGAGGAAATACAGCGTTACACAGTGCTGTAGTTATGGCTGGCTCGCGAGCCAAAGAAATTTGTTCTCTGTTAATTCAACATGGTGCGGATCCATCGGTTTCTAATAGAGTAACAAATGTGAGTAACACCTTCCTTACAATGAGTTTACTTTCTATCCCTTATATATACTTTCATTTATACAATGAATTTACTTAAGATGCCAAATTTTTTTAGAAAAATAACTAAACTGTCTTAAATTTCAAGTCACAATTATTATTTATAGGAATCTCTTAAATTAATTTTTTACTGTAAAATTCAAATTTTATATGCATCATTTTTTTCTAATCATTTCACAAAAATAAGTAGGTAAAAATATTCAATTATTGAGTGACCTGATATCGTTTTACTTTTTGTTTTTTGTATTTACATTTTAAAAATTCTTTCAACTTTAAGGCTAAAGACACTGAGGATGCAGAAATAAAAACAGAAATAGAGTCCGACGAAGAAGAATGTAGAACAGGACAAACTTCTTTCGATCTTGCTAAAAATAATTTAGACGTAAGTTACAAATTGAATGGTTTTACCAAGAATTGATATGAATTCATTTAAGTATAAATAAAAAGAAAAATTAATTTATATTAAACATTTTCTTTTAGATTCTCGAATTATTGCAAGAAACTTCGCGTTTAAAAGAAACACCAGAAAATGTAGAAATAAAAGACGAAAAAGAAATGGAAGAACCATCAACGTCCAATGATGTCCATGATGAAGACATAGCTCACATTGCTAGTATATTAGATAGAACACAAGGTTGGAAAAAATTAGCTGAGAAAATGGGTCTTGGAATTTTGGTTCCTGTATTAAAGAAGAGTGAGAGTAGTCCATCTCTTACAATATTCAGCTACACCAATCTGAGTGTAGGACAAAAACTTTTGGACACATTGAAAGATTTAAAGGAAGAAGAAGCAGTTACTGAACTTGAAAAAATGTTTAATAAGAAGGTTAAAATAACATAAAATGTTTTCTGCAAGACATTTTTAAATTACTTTATTTTTATGATGCATTTTTACGTTTTACTATTGTATATGAGGCAAAATTCCTGAAATGTCCGAACAAAAAATTTAAAGTTATCGAATTTAGTCCATACTTTCCTAAAATGTTGTCATTGTTGGTAAAACTCTAAATAAATTTAAAAATTTTAATTTTTCAAAATTAATTTTTTTTTCTTAAACTTAAATATTTTCTGAGCAATAACTGTTTAAGAAATTTTTGTCTAGGACTAAAAGTGAAGAAGTTATGAGTTAATGAAAAAAAAGTTGCACTAATTTTTTAATGCAAATATCTCGAAAAAAAAATTCATAACCATCCATAACCTCTACCCAAAAACGTAGTGTGGAAGAAATAGGAGGATAGATCCCCCAATCTCACATCGAATTGCTCATTATACCACTTGGTGCGGTTAGAGTGCGCGCTTGCGATCAATTGTTTCTATCTCAAAAACTATGAAAGATCCCACTCTGAAAATTACATATTTTGTAGGAAATTAGTCAAGCCTTTCATTGAGATAGTTAAAAAAAATAATAAAAAAATCCGAGTTTGAGATATACGTAAATTAACATATTCGTCATGAATTCCAAGGTCAAATTTTATTAAAAAAAAAAATTTTAACACCATCGTGTAGCCCGTCAAAAAAGCTTTAATAATCATTATATATATGTTAACTTTTATGCATTATACTCATAACTATAGTATATTGAAAAAAAATTTTTTTTTTTAAGTCAAAAATTAAAAACGTTAAAAATTTAAAAACTAATTAATTAAATTAATTTAAAAACTGTTTTATCAAATTCAATAATAATTGATTTTTAGACTTTCACTAACAATTACAACATTTTAGGAAAGTATGTATTAAATTCGATAACTTTTAATTTTTTGTACGGACATTTCAGGAATTTTGCCTCATATAAGAAAAATTATATTATAGATCTAGATTTATTTTTTTTTTTTACTTATTTTCTATCATATTAAATTATTCTCAAGATTGAATGTAATTTTTAAGCTTTCTCTATACTCCATGAAATGGGGTGTTGAGATATTCAAAAATAGATTTATTTAAAGAACCTAAATTTTTTGGAAAAGTTAAATTGAGATACCGTGGTTGTCCCAGTTACCGTCTAGCTAAGACTCAGTTTCCGTCCACTTTAATTTTGAAGATAATATACAAAAATTATTTTCTTTTTATTTTTGGTTACTTCAACTAATAAGTCCGTTGCATGCCAAAAAGAATAAAATATTGTTGAAAAATAATTTAAATTATTATACGAGATATTTGAAAAATGGACGGTAAGTGGGACAATCACGGTATGCTAAGAGAATTTCCAAAAAAAAGATTATTAATAAAAAATAGTTTTTCTACTCGAAATACTCTTCATTAATTTAATATTTTTCAAATCGGATTTCAGATTTCTAATGTTATTTATGTTAATTCAATTTAAATATTATGTTTTTGTATTACAATACCATTTATGCGTTTAATACAATATTGTTTAATAATGCATTATTATACTGGCTGAGAGAAACTTAATATAATTCGTATAATGGTTTTAAAAAGACGAAAAATTTATTTAGAAAATAATTCTATTTTTCAAATAATACATACAAATTTGTTAATAGTTAGGTGATGTGTATTCTGTAATCAGGGTGTCCAGCGGTCAGGGAAGTCATGGAAAAGTCAGGGAACTTTTTAAAAATTTGACAAAAATGAACATTTCTATGAATTTTTTAATTTTTCGGTACAAGACAAAGTTTATAATACTAATAAATAAAATGTTTTTTATTATCTTAAAAATATTTTAAAATTAAAACTTTTCACTCTTTTAATAATAAATATTTCTTACAGAAAAGTGGAAAGAAGGTTAGGAAAAAGTCAGAATTATTTTCCACTTCTTGCTGGACACTCTAGTACTGTAATTAAAATTAATGTAAAGTAAATGTAGATGAAGTAAATAAAAATTTATTTGTACAATTTTAAAAAAGACCTTCACTATATTCTTTGAACTATTGAACCACTTAATTCAAGAACCACACAGTGGTAAAAAAAGATACCTGTACACAAATTGATTTTCATTCCATAATTTTTCAAACGATTTACAAATTTTTTTGTGCAACACCTGCAAAAAAAGTGCTACTTTACTTTAACGTAAATGCAGCACAAAGTTGTTGATTTTAGCATTCTGAAGGAGCTTCTACAACAACTTGCATGGGCACTTGCTTTTCATTTGCTACTGCATGTGCGCGTGCGCATAAATTTTCAGTTATCGAATATTAAATTAATTAATGAATTACTACCCGTGTGGAAAGCCACGATCTTGCCCCCAAGACTTCGGGGCCCCCGGCGGGGGCCCATGAGGGCTGATCCATATGGCGAATCCATGAGGGCCAACGTAGGGGCCCCGCATGGATCGCCCACATGATCGTTTAGCAAAATTTTCTAAGTCCAAAAGTCAAATATTTTTTTATCACCATAAAATTTATGTTTACAATGATTCAGAACAACGAAAAACGCGTTTTTAATATAAATATATTTTCACTTTTTTTGAAAATTCACCTGGGATGATTCATGATAATAATCATAAAGCATATAATTAATTATTTTTTATAAATTGCATTTGATTGGAAAATATAATTTAATATCTTAACTGTAACTAAATGATGTTAAGCACTTTTCTGAGTTAGGTATTTTGCAAGTTTAAATGTCATCAAGAAGTTATCATTAATTTTCACGTAGCTTGCGTAGCGTAGTTGGTAAAGCGTTAGGCTCATAGTCCGTAGGTCGTAGGTTCTATTCCCCCCATATGCGTTAGATTTATTTATTTCTCAGGTTTGCGTTTAATCATTAATTCTATATATGAATTAGTTGAAAGATGAAAATATCCGATCATAACATATTTTTTAATTAATTAATTAATTTATTATTACTTTTAATCTATATCCGATAGTTAATTAATTAGAACGTTAATTAATAAATTCAATTTGAGTAAGAATTTAATTTAAAAATGGAAGAATTAGTAAATAAATATGTTATTTATTCATAATTTAAGCTTATTTATTATTAATTAACTATTATTATTAATATTGTTTATAATGTATAAATATAAACATATATAATGTATAATAATTAATATTGTATAATATTGTTTCAATGAGGGGCCCCTATGGATCACCCATATGCGCCCCTCATGGCATGAGGACGATCCATAGACCCCTCCGCTGGGGGCCCCCATCACTTTTCCAAACGGGTAATTAATTAATAATCGAATTATATATTAAATTAATTATAATTAATTACTAATTAATTACATTTAATTAATTAGTAATTCATTATTTAATTCTATATTCGATATCTGGAAATTGATGTGCGCGCTCACATACAAGATCAAATGCAAAGCAAGTGCAGATACAAGTACTGATGCAAGTTGTTGTAGAAGCTCCTTGATAAAGTGTACAGCAATCACGAAGTACAGAGTTTAATACCACAATTTCCCGCGGTTGGCGCAAGTGTAATTAGATTGGTGAAAACTTGAGAACCGTGAATACCGAAAACGGGGCCATCTTTTATATACAGCGATATGTCTTTATACTACTTCGTGACAGCAATGTACACTTTTGTGCACATTTTCAGGCAAATTAGGCAACATAACCTTAAATTTATTCTTTAAAACAGCATATAAAATAGCTTTTTTCTTGCTGATGTTGCACAAAGCACTGTGTGCAACTCGAGCGGAATGGAACATTTTCCGACGAGATCGGCTTCTTTCCGCTCTCGTTGCACAATGTTCCATAAACATCTGTCAAACGTGTTGACAAAGTAAGACAGTCAATTGCGGGAATGAAGTTAGCAAGTAATCAGTTGAGACAAAATCGAAACAGCATTATAAAATTTTATTTAAATAATTATTTTCAAATTTTAATTTCTTATACTTTTTTTACAACTTAAAATCTTTTAATATTATTTAAACTATAATATTAAAATAAAAATCTATATATATATATATTTCTTTACATTTGTCATGTTTTTTAATTCTAAAGTTAAAATTTGATTAATTGGACTCAAAAACATAGCTAAAAAAGGTTTAGTAAAATATAACAAAAATTAAATTTAAAAAATTTGATTTTTGGAATTTTTCTTCACAATTTTAAATCTATCAGTTATTTTCTCAATTTTAAGGTAAAAATGCGATTAATTAACCTCAAAAAACTTCTAAAAAAAAGTCTAGTAAAAATAAGCGAAAAAATAAAAAATTTTAAAATTTCGATTTTTACAAAAAGTGCCATAACTTCCGTTCAAGTTAGTATTTTTTAATGGGGTATGGCTAAGATTTTAAGTTAGTCTAATACCTAAAAGACTGCCAAGTTTCACTTAAATCGATCAAGCCGTTTATGCGTGATTGGCGAACAAAATATTGTGCAGACAGACAGACAGACAGAATTTTTTTTAATGCTATTTTTAGAATCCTTATGACTTGAAACGAAGAATTATACATTAATTTTTTAAGTTCTAAGCAATGTACAGACAAAAGTCTAATTTTATTAATATAAATTATAGTTTAAATAATATTAAAAGATTTTAAGTTGTAAAAAAAGTATAAGAAATTAAAATTTGAAAATAATTATTTAAATAAAATTTTATAATGCTGTTTCGATTTTGTCTCAACTGATTACTTGCTAACTTCATTCCCGCAATTGACTGTCTTATTTTGTCAACACGTTTGACAGATGTTTATGGAAAGAAGCAAGAAAGTCGATACAGATAAAAACAATTAATTATAATCGATAATAATTATTAATATATTATAATAATAATAATAAAATAATCAATTAATATTAAATCAAATATTTTAAGCCATCGACTAAAGGAAGATTATTTTTCAGGTATTTAAAATAAATAATTAAAAAAAATTTTTGACATACATTTTGATAATATTTCCTTTTGTCATTTTATAATTTTTTTAACAAGCATTCTAATTATCTTCAAAAATACATTTAAAAAATTTAACATCTATGTTAAATTTTTTAAATGTATTTTTGAAGATAATTAGAATGCTTGTTAAAAAAGAAATTAATTTCTAAAATTTTTAAAAAATATTTTTTATTTTTGTAATAATTTTTTATAATTATATTTTATTCTTTAAATATATTTTAAGAATTATTTGCACGAAAATACTGTTGGGCGCACACCACTAGATTTCGCTCCCGCCGAAGGCGGGTACGAAAGCTAGTTTTGAATAAAGTCGTTGTGGCCTAATTTTTAAAAGAATTGATTCTGTATAATATCTAGGGAATTAAATGAAAATAATTTCGTTAAAATTTGTATTACTTTTCTTAAAACATGATGAGTTTAAAGTGGTGAAGGTACGGAGAAGTGTCACTTTTTTAGTAATTGGAAAATATATTTAAAAAAACATGAAAAAATCCTTAAAATTGTAAAAAGAATGATTGATTCTTGTTTAAAATTAGTTGATTAATTATTTTTTAATAATTAAAATAATTCACGGTGTTTTTATCGATTTAAATGAAAGAAAAATGTACCTCAAATTTTCTTGATGATTGCATTAAAGTATGAAATTCTGTGAATTTTAAGACCAAAATTAAAGAAATCCATCGAGCGCTTTTTGAGAAAAAAGAAAAAAAAACGAAAAACCTTTGATTTATACGAAATATGTTTAAAGCTTAACAAATCTGAAGTACTTATATTGACGTGAAATAAGGAACGATAAAAACAAAAATTTTGAATTCATGCAGGGATTATAATCCAAGTTTGAATTGTAATTTTTGTTTTTATCGCTCTTTTCACTTCAATAAGTACTTTAAATTTTTAAGCAAATTAAAAATAAAAAAAATTAAAAATAAATTAAAAATATCAAAAATACTATATATAAACAATCGCTGCTGTATGCCAGAGTATTAATATTTTGTAAAATGAATTATTATTTTTACAAAATTGCATATACATATTTGAGGAAAATTCAATACGACGACAATACACTTTTTGTCCTTTCCATAAATAAGCAATTTTTTAAGAATAATTTTTTTTACAAAATATTAATTTAATCATGGGCACAAAAATTATATAAACTTTTTGAACAGATAAATGCTTTTTTAAAATACTAAAAAGATATATTTACTCCGTTATATTATAGTAACCGCGAGTCAACAGCACATTCCTTATACCTTCCATTATATTATAGTTATTGTTAAATATTACGAAAAAGAATAAATATAGGTTTATATAAGATTTATAATTTATAATTTTTATGTGATTTTGTATTTTTACAACTGGCAATATTTTTAATATCTAGTTATTAATGAACTTTCTCGGTTGCACACACACAAAAATGTATGTAATTAAATATAAAAAATTTAATAAACATCGTCATTGTTAAACATTTTATTGTCTTATGGGTCAACTGCATATATATTTCGTATAAATCGAAAGTTTTTTGTTTTTGTTTTTCATTTTCCTCAAAAAAGCGCTCGACGGATTTCTTTATTTTTGGACTTCAAATTCACAAAATTTGATACTTTATTGGTTGTTTTCGACGTTCACACTCTGAGCGCTCTAAAACATAATGGTGCGATATGCCAATTATTCTGGTGAACAGTCTATTTTAATTATAGTTGATATATTCGCATCTAAGAGAAACGATCTCTCTGCACACTCTGTCTTTGCTAAATAAAACATGTTTTTATAGTTGGTTTTTCAAATAACCTAAATTTGCGATTTTTAATAATAAATTTAGAGAAAGTGCAATTATTAAATTAAATAAAAACTCACCAAATATATAGAGCACTTGTGATGAACTTTCATGCTTTCTTATCACTTTTTTTTAATTTTACTTCAGATTTACAAGAAATAGGGTAAGTGCATCAATTATGGCGAGTGTGTCATTAATAAAATATTTAAGAAATCTCGGGGAATCTCAACAGAAATCTGAGGGAATCCCAATAGAAATCTAGGGAAATCCCGGCAGAAATT